GAGATGAAGAACAAAGGACACACCAATCAGACAGACACAGGCTGAATGCTGAATCAATCTCGCTCCTCCCAGTGGGTTTTAGCTCTTCCAGGGACTCTCCAGAGCAGTTCAGACCAGTGGACAAGACAGAATTTCACCAAACAAATGGTCCCTTGTGCTCTGCATGAGCACAACAATAACAGGAACACTTTCCAGGGTCCCTTTCGCCCAAAGCACACGTACGGTGGGAGGGATGAATTTCCTTCATTTCTATGTGTTGCCCTGCAGCAGTCCCCAAGCCCCCATTTCTCGATGCCCCACACAATCCCTCTGGTACGTGGCTCCCTCACCTTTCTCGCAGCCAGTCATGCCCAGTTTGCTGCCGTTGGGGCACTGGTTGCATTTCATGCCAGTGATACCGGTCTTGCAGGAGCACAGCCCAGTCATCTGCTCGCAGTCGTCGCGCACCGAGCCCACCGGGTCGCAGTTACAGGCTGGGCAAGGAGGGAAAAAGAGACACTGGTGGATTTGTGGAGCCAGCTGCAGACTCATTCCAATCCCCCAACAATCCAAGAGAGGAAGAGGGACCTGGGGAGCACCACAACGCTGACTGCAACCTCCTTACTGACTCCCCTGGAGCCTGCCTCCACCCACCACCCTGGTCCTACGGCTCGTGATCCCACATCTGCTCCACAGACACAGGACAGCAGGGATCATTCAGGCTGGGCTCCAGCAGCCCTGCAGAACATCTGGCCAGGGAGCAAACTCATGGAAGGTGACACCAGCTCCTAACCAAGCTGTGCCACGGGGGAGCAACAGCACCCGTGCAATGCTTCAGGCATGTTTCTCTTGCACGGAGCAAGCCAGCAAGCTCTGCAAACACAGCTGCTGGAGGTGACATACACCAGGACCAACATTAGGGTTTGGTGGTTTAAAAAGCACGACACCCCGCTGTCCTTCGAGCCCTGCGGAGCCAGCCAGGAGCATGCACGGGAGGAGATGCACCAGCCCAGCCCTGCCCACACTCACGTGTGCAGCCGCTCTTGCTGTCGGTGACGATGCCGCGGAAATTCCAGAAGCCGGGCTCACAGCGGTCGCACTTCAGCCCCCCCACGCCCGGCTTGCAGGAGCATTGCCCGGTGGCAGGGTCACAGGCTCCGCCGTAGGAGCCGTAGGGGTTGCACTGGCAGGTGCCTGCGAGCAGAGAAAGCGGGGTGCTGAGTCCTGGCCAAGGGGACAGGGGGATGCTGGGGGATGCATTGGGGTGGAGAGACCGGCTGCTGAGCCACCGAGCTGCTCAGTCAGGGCAGGAGCGTGGTCTCATGCTGGGCAGGAGGAGGATTCACCAGCTGCTCTCAACATTTTTCCTCTGCCCTGGCTACAAGGGGGAACGAAACCTTCCGGGATTAACCCGCTCGCTTTGCTGTCATCAAGAATTCCCCTCTCGTTAACATCAAAGGAGGAGGAAGCTATTAGGAGTTTATTATTAATTCATTAATTAGGAACTTGATGGAGGGAAATGATCCAAAGATAGACAGAGAGACGCTGCCTTTATCCCTGGGGAGCAGCTGAAAGGGGACCTGGGGCAGAGCTGGGCAGAAAGGGAGACCTGGGGAGCAGCAAGCAGGGTGCGTAGGCACATCCCAGCCTGCCAGCGGCAGGGAAATGGAACATCCACAACAGGCAGCAACAGATAAACCTGCCCCAGGGGCTGCAGGCTGCGGGTTAAGTGGTAATTCCCTCCTGATGTACGCTCGCTGCCAGCACAGGGACACAGGTGGGACAGAAACCAGTGGGGTACTGAATCCCAGTCAGTTGGGAAGCTGTGTCCATGGATTAGAGGACAGAGGAACATCCCCCCCACCTGCCACTGGCAGGGTGATGCTGGAAGCTAAATGCTCCTCTCTAGCATCCCTCTGCCCGCTCCTCTCTAGCATCCCTCTGCCCAGCTCCTCCCTGCTCTGCCCATCCCTCCTGGCCAGCACAGACCCACAGCCACAGGTCTGCTCCTCCAGCACCCACCTCATCCTGCAGCCCACCCTGCCAGGACATCTCTGGACATTTTCTGAACGCTGCTGCTTTTTAAATTAATGGCACATTAAGCAGCACTCCACCCTCGCTGAGCAGGCATTAGCCAGGCCCGTGCACGGCGTGAACCGTGTCTCCGCGGGGTGATGCGATTCCCTAACAGGCGGTCCCAGCCGCAGCTGTTGGGAGTTTGCTAATGCCTTTCAGCCTTCTGCTAAAGTGCTGACTCCTGTAATTATTTAATAAATATTAATGCAACATTTGCCAGCTCAGCTTCCTGCACAGCGCAGTCACCCACTGGTCACTGGTCCTGCAGAAGGTCCCCAGGTGAACCCGAAAGCTCTGTTCCACCTCAGCCCACAGCAGAAGGACACAAGCAATATTTCTGTCCCTCCAGCTGGTGAAAAGCCCTAAACCTCCAGCAATGGGTTGAAGGCACAGAGGGCAGCATCTGGCCCTAGGGGCATCTTTGGAGGCATCCAGCATCAGACAAGTTCCAAGCCACCATCCTGTCTTCCTGCATTTCAGAGCTGGAAGGTGACTCAGGTTTTTTTGAAAGGACGAGAGCATCGCTAGTAGGTATAGAAGGTGAAGCATGAGTGCACATCTCCATGTGTGCATGCTGCCAGCCTGGAGCTGCGGATACAGGAGGCTTTCCGAGCCCAGGAGGTCTCTAGTTAGCTAAGGAACGGAGAGGGTCTACCTTCCTTTCCCCTGGGATGGGACCCCAAGTCTCCCCTCCGCTTGATCTCTCCTGCCTCCCAGCTGTCCTTGAAGGCCCTCCAATCCCCTCAAAGTGCAAACACACAATATTCACTCACTTGGACATCCAGCTGCACCCACGCCCAGCGCCAGGGTCATGTTGTCTGGGCAGCACCCGTAGATGGTCTGGCTGCAGTGCACAACCAGGAGAGGCGGGGGGGTTGTGACCAGGGCTGCAGAGGAAGGCAGAGGGGGACAGGTTATCTTTGGCACACAGGCTGCTGCAGGGCAGTATTGCCAACGTATGGATCGAGCAGCATCTGCAAAACCCCGCGGTCCTTGCAGAGATGCTGGGAACAGGCAACGAGGTGAGGTCCCACCCTTGGCTGGGGAAAGCACAGAAATGATGCTGCAGGGATCAGCAAAGCAACACAGACACGGCTGTGTGCTTAGCGAGCACGTCCTTGCTCAGCCCCAGGGTTGGTGTGTTACTGGGGACCAGTGCACCCAGTTCATGTCAGCGTGGGGTGACTGGCTGCCTTGGGGGGACTCACCGCGGCAGGCTCCTTGGCTAGTGACATAGAGCTCCTGGCGTTTTTCACACCGTGTCTTCTTCAGCTCACACTCGTTGGTGTAGGTCACACACTCAGAGCCACACACCGGGAGGGAAGGCGCTCAGGACAGTCCCTGGCACGGGGAGGCAGGGTCCCTACCCGGGGGATGCCCTCTGCTGCCCAGGAAACATGCGGGAAGGCGAGGAGGGAGAAGAGAGGAGGGGAGCGAGGACTGCAGCAGGCAGAACGGCTCAGCGTGCTTACCGGGCTGCGTGGCACCGCCAGGCAGGTGAAGTCACACACACAGCGGTCATCCTCGGCATCCTCGTCCCACCAGCCCCCGTACTGCCGGCACCGGTCCTGCTCACACTCGCTACCATCGCCGGAGCCCGAGCCCCCCGAGCCGCACTCTGGAGCGAAGGAGGATGATGGTGAGAAAGGGCTCAGCCCCAGCTGGGGAAAGCAGAGGGGATGGGGCCAAAAAATCCTGTGCCCACACATATTGGGATGCTTATGCCTGGATTTCAGAGAAAATCCCTCTCCCTTGGAGAAAGCAGATACTCCAGGGCTCTCATAAGATTGTGCTGAGCCTACACAATAAAAACTGCAAAGGGATGCTTTAGCCTGAGGTCTCTGTCTCTGCAGCATCACCGCAGGAGCAAAAACAAGGATGCTGCGGCTACCGGCGCCCTGCAGGCTACCTGGAGATCAGACAGCGGACAGCCAGGCACAGGAGGAAGGACTGCCACTGACTTAGCAACAGCTTAACTCCACGCTTTGATCTGGCTCCTTCCCCTTCTCCTGCCCTCCCAAACACAGGGAGATTGCTGCTGCTAATATCAACATGGAAACCCGAGCAGAGGGAGGGATGGGGTGTGGGTTTAGTCTGAAGGTCAGTTCGGCAGATGTTCCCAACAATATATCAACTCTGTCCCTAGCCCGGCTGCCTCTCCATGACATGCTCAGAGCTTCAGCAGCAAGAGAAAGACGTTGCTGATTTCAAAGGCTTCTTAAAGGGGAAGGGGGAGGAAGGAAAACCTGGCCCTTTTTATTGAGTGATCAAAGGCTGGGATTTGGCATTACACAGAGAATTATTTAAGATCTTTTCCCAGAGGGCCATCAACCTGAAATTCCCCAAGGAGAGCTGTGATCAAACCCCGTGTTGTGTCTCCCCCTCTCCCTCAGCTCTGCCATAGCACTGAAGTTTTTTCAAGCTACATGTGCAACGAGCCAGAAAATCTCAGCTCGCCAGGTCACACATCGGAGCGGTGAGGTTACGTTTATTCGGATTCAGCCAGCACCAACCCATAGCTTTCCCCCTACAGTGGGAAAACTCAGCAGGTTCTTCGTTCCTAGCCTGGCCAAGCAAGGTGCAGCCAACCCCAGGACCCTCCCAGGCGCTCGGTCCTCCAGCAGCCCCAGGGCAGAGGGAAGCAAAGCATCAGCCAGGCTCCCTGCCCTGGGCACCGCTCCGTTTCCCCCAGCTCAGCCCCACTGAAGTGTGAAATTAAAGCAGAGATAAGCTCCTCGCCCAACCGGTTAAGTGGCATCACCTCTCATTACTGCTGGATGCAGACAGACAAAGGGGAAGGGAGGTGGCAGGCGGGGTGACAGCGGCTGGCCGGGAGGGAAGGAGAGGGCTGCAGGCATGGGACCTGCTGTGCTGGGGACACTGGGGACATCCTGGGGCACCGTGCTCGAGCTCCACATGATGGGGCTCACATCAGCGGAGCAGCAAGGGGAAGAGCCCGCTGTGTGCATCCTCAGCCCTTCCTCATCCTCCCCCCCCCCTCTCACCCCCACACAGCCGGCGGCAACCTACCGTCCTCGCACGGCCCGGTCCTGGCAACCTCGATGCTCTTCTGCTGCTGGCAGGAGGCCACACGCAGCTCGCAGGGGTTGTCGTAGGTGAGGCCGTCAGAGCCGCACACGGGGGCGAGGGGCTGCCGCTCGCAGCGCGGGCACACGCACTGGCCCCCCACGCACTTGCTGCCGAAGGAGCATACCGTGCTGCCGCAGGACTCTGCGGGGACAGAGGGGGGGACCCCAGTCAGACCTCGGAGGGACACCATGCCCTCGGAGGCAAAGAGAGAAGTCCTCCCCCAATCATAGGTTTATTTTTGCTTAAACTGTGCAAAGACTCTGCAGTGGGCAGGTGACAGTCCTGAGCATTTCTGATTCCCAGCAGCACCCACAGGTGTTGTGTCCAACAGGTTTTTTTTTTTTTTCTAGGACACCAGTAAGAAATCCCAAGAAATCCCAGAATACGCTCCCATGGTGTATTCTGACTTCAGCCTCCTCCTGCTTGCAGCTCCCCTGGAGCACAGAGCCATCTGTCACACTTCTCCCGGATTTAGAGAGGATCTCCATGCACAGCTCAGCCTGGGAACACAGACCCAGCTGGACAGGTTTGATGAGGCTCAAAGCATTGCTTTTACCAAAACAGAATTTACCCTAATGAAGAATCTAGGCAGGGCTTTTAATTCATTAAGAAATTAGCACAGGGAGTTCCCTGTCCTGGGGAGGAAACACAGGAGCAAAGAGGAATTAACCCCAGGGGATGGAGGGAAGGGAAAGCCACTGAGATGAACTGTGGGATCAAAGAGACCCGTGATGCTTTTGCTTCTGGTGGTAGCTAATAACATGATTTTAGCCCAATTTCTTTGCTCAGCTCCCACAAGTAACAAAGAGGGCTGACACCACCTATGGTGCATAGCTGGGGAAATTAAACCAGCTGGGGCTAAACTAGAGAAGATGCTCGAGAGACTCAAGATGCCCAATTCTTGTGCAGACAAAAGGAAAGACTGTGCCAGACACGGTGCCTCAGGCAGGGTCTTTGAGGGACCAGCCAGGAACTGCAGCCAGGCTCCTGGGTGTCCCTGGAGCTGATATCCTCCTGGAAAGTCCTGAGAACCACCAATAAAGGCACCAGGAGAAGGACTATGGAGAACCCTCTGCGCATCCCAACCCTGGGGTTTCTCCCAGGGGTGGCAAAACCCTGGCTGTGAGTGCTACAAACGACTGGTGAGCCTTGGATAGCCACAGCCAAGCAGCCCAGTAGGGTGCAGGCAGCCAGCAAGGCTGAGCATCCTCTCTCTGAAATACCAACAGCAGGGGAGAGACGAGGGACGAAGCGGGGGGACCTTGCCAGACTCACTGCAGTCTCCTTGGGCAGCCACCAGGATGTTGGTCTGCTGCGTGCACGCCCGCACGTGGAGCTCGCACTCGCTGCCGTACGTGTTGCCGTCGGTGCCGCACACGGGCTGCGAGGAGGGGACGCACTCCGTGGGGCACACGCACCTTCCCGTCTCCGCCTCGCAGATGGCTCCAAACTGGCATTTGCCACAACGGTCTGTGCAGATGAAGAATAAAACCAGGTAGGTTAAAACAGCAGGTCAAGGCAGGCATTGCTGCCTAACAAAGCGCCAGCGCAGAAATAAACTTTTTAATGGGGACTGTAGCAATAGGACAAGGAGTGATGGTTTTAAACTAAAAGAGGAGAGGTTTAGACTAGGTATAAGGAAGAAATAATTCACGCTGAGGGTGGTGAAACACTAGCACAGGTTGCCCAGGGAGGTGGTAGATGCCCCGTCCCTGGAAACATTCACAGTCAGTTTGGATGGGGCTCTGGGCAGCCTGAGCGAGTGGAAGATGTCCCTGCTCACTGCAGGGGGGTTGGACTAGCTGACCTCCATGGTCCCTTCCAACTCAATCTATTCTATGATTCTATAAAATAAAACCCCACTGCCACCTCCTCCCCCAGGTCAAGCCCCTGCAGACCCCAGGAGCAGGAGCCCCGGGCACAGCGCAAGGGAAGAACCGAGGCTGCAGGAGGAGGGAGAGGCGGGCTTGGAGCAGAAAGGCAATAACTGCTCGTAAAACCCATCAGGGCAGGGAGTAACCGTGATGAAATGTCACTGGAGCCATACACTGTTATAGCTAACCAGGAGGGGGGAGTGCAATTAGGAGGAGCGATAAATCAGCCCCAGGCTGGGGAGGAGGAGCGCAGCATCCCCGGCAGCATGCAGCCGGTCTCCTGGGGGAAAGGCAGCAGGGTTCACACGCGGCAAGTCGGCAGGGCAGGAGGAGGTGGTGGGCTGGGTGGGGGAGAGTGTCTTCCCCCGGTTTATCAGGGTGCCAGCGGTGCTGGAGGCACACAGAACACAGCACCGGGTCCCAGCACCTGGCCACCCCCCCCAGCACCATCCTCAGCCCTGCTGCAACCACACGCGCGCAGGCTGGGGTCAGAGAAGCCGTTCATCTTCGTAATAACTCACTGGCAAAGGAGCTATCACTCGTTGCAGGAGAGACCGGACTCCAGCCAGCACATCTTCTGCCTCCTGGGTATTTAGTGATTCACGGCTTCGCTTTCTCCTTCAGACAAACACCCCTCTTCCCTCCCTGCCATTCAGTTCAAGAGGAATTTGGCTCAAAGATGGTTTTTCTCTTTTTTTTTTTTTTTCACACAGCAGCTGCTGCCTTTGCATGGGGCAGGGAAGATGCACCAGCCCCCTGCCTGGTTTGTGCAGACCATTGGCCAGGAGGTTTCTATCTCCAGCACAAAGGCTGCAGCCACGCCTGGGCTCTGAAGGTCGGGAGAGGGGCTGCTGAAGGCAGACAAGGGCAAGTATTTCCTACAGGGCACTCAAGTTCCCGACAGCTGAAGAATTTGCATCCTTCGCTGTTTTTCCTCTAACTGCATGGAGCTTGTACCAGTATTTTCTTCTGGACCCTCTGCTGTGCCGCAGAGGGGTGCTCCACAGGTTGGAGGGGGTCTTCCTTTCCTGGAGGAAGGGTCTTCCTTTTCTCTGATGTCTCAAAGCCCTTATGGCTCAGGAGCGTGTTCCCCAAGCAGGGCTGCACAGCACAGCCTGGGGGGAACCCTCCCTGACTGCGAGGGACTGAGCCCAGCTTTGACCGGGGCATTGCTACACCCCACACACCAGCCCTGGGTGGAGCGAGAGGCTCCTGATACCCAGCCTGAAGGCTAGGGGCAGAAAAACTGTATTTTGACAAAACCGTGGTGAGCCTAGCCCTACCTGAACGTCTGGTGGCAGATTTTGTCCTGGGAAAACAAGAAGCTGTGGATGCCCCATCCCTGGAGGGGTTCAAGGCCAGGCTGGATGAGGCTTTGAGCAACCTGGGCTAGTGGGAGGTGTCCCTGCCCATGGCAGGGGGTGGCACTGGATGGGCTTTAAGGTCCCTTCCAACCCAAACCATTCCATAATTCTAACCCAGCCAGCTCGGGCTGAGCCTGAGCCTGTGTGCAAACACTGCCGGGTAAAGCTGTGCTGGCACGAAGAGCTTGCAAACGGAGCTGCTGCATATGGTTGCAAGTTGCGTACGCTACGTGGTGGCAACCAAAGCACAAACACAACCCAAACCCCTTCTCTCCCCATGCCCAGGGCCATGCTCATGCTTAGGACTGCCCGCTCCCAGCAAGCAAACCGGGGCTGTGGCCACCAGCAGAAGGAGGAGGAGGAGGAAGCCACGGTGATGGGCTCTTACCGCAGGGGCCCTTGTGCTTCACTTTGATCTCCCTCTTGAGGACACACGCCATGGAGTCCAGCTCGCAGGGGTTGCCGTAGGTGCGGTTGTCGGTGCCACACACGGGGTCGTAGCGGCCCTGGCACACTTGCTGGCACTCGCACACGGCCTCTTGGTTCTTCACCACGCACGTGGCCCCGAAGGTGCACTCCATGCTCAGGCACGGGCTGGGAGTGCCCAGGTCTGCAGGGGGAAGAGGAGAGAGAGGCACCGGTGTCAGCCCGCCGTGTCCCCAGCTCCCCCGGGGCAGCAATGCATGCCAGCATCTCCAGCCGCGGGGCCACGCCTGCCTCCCCCCCAAGCTGTGATAAATGCACATCACTCCTGGCCTCGGCACTGCACCCTCCATGCCACCCCGACATGCCCGGCTCAGCACCTTCCCCATGCGTGGCAGAGGTTAGGGATGGGAAGCAGGCACAAGATCTTCTCCCCGCACGCCCTGAACAGGATTCCTGCCTCGATTCCTCTGTCCCGTCCCCATCCCAGCTACATTCTGGACCAGCCAGAAGTGGGATCAGCCCTGCGGGTTTCTGCACCAAACCCCGATGTCTGGGTCTCCCCAGCAGCTCACAGCCAGCATCAAGAACAAGTGACATGTGCTGAGGGAGGGCATCACACGCCGAGGGACCTTGTCGTCAGGAGGGGAGCCAGCATCTCTTCCTGGGCAGCAGCAGTGCCACAAGCCTGCTGGGGAAGCGGGATCTGGATGCCCAGCCCTGTGGCAATACCCAGGAAGACCTGTCAGAAGACACCCACATTCGCCTTCACCCCACAGCCCCTCTTCTCTCCCCAGCAGCTCCGCTCCCTTCTCCTCCTCTTGTATCAGGTGTTGGAAAGCCCAGGGAGCTGCTGTGCAGCCGGATGAAGGGACCTGGTGTCCTTGCTTTGGCCCAGTTCTTGGGCACCTGGCCAAGCCCCAAGGCTCCATGGGGCTGGGTGATGCCCCACGGCACGGGTCACAGGCTGCGAGGCAGCCATCCCCTCCGCTCACTCCCTCGAGCTGCTAAATCAAAGCCAGCCGAGGCGGCACCTTCCCTGCAAGATGCCCAGCGGTGACGAGGTGAGGAGCCAGCCCTGATGGTGACAGCAAAGAGAAAAAGCTGCACCCAGCTCCCTGGTACAGCTCTGCAGCTGCTTGCAGGGACAGCCCTGTGCTTCCACTCAGTTCCCAGCCTGCATGTCCCCCCCAGGAATGTCCCGCCACCATCCAGAAGCCGAGACTAAGCAGCAGGACTGGCCGTGCCGCTGGGGAGAGACCCAGCACCATCCTGCGACCCCTTCTTGTGACTCAAGACAAAAGCCCTGAGGAGCTGGGGCAAGGAAAGGACACAGACTGAATCCATGCGGAACGCCGACAAGGACACACGACAAATATGGATGTGGGGGACAGACGATGCGGCCAGGATGAGATGGATGCAAGAGGCAGACCCAGCGCAGCCCCACTGACACCAAAGAGAGAGGCAGGCACGGAGCTGAGCACGGTGGGAAGGACAAAGCCCTGCGGAGCCTGCTGGCGTGGCACAGGGACAACAGGTCCCTTTCTCCTCCCCTGCGAGGACAGAGGTGACATATCTGCAGAGCAAGAGCAAGGCTGGAGCCCTCGGGAGTCTGGCTGCATGCTGCCAACCAGCGAGAAAACAGCCTGTAAAAGGGGCACAGGCAAGGCTGAATTTGGGATTTGGCTCTTTGGAAAGCACCTACCAAGTCCATACTTAGAGGTAAGGGTCTGCAAAGGAACAGGGAAGAGGGGGACAGCTCAGGGACATGGCCACCGCTTCAACCCAGCCCCTTTTCAACTGTGTTCTCAGCTTCCCTGCAGCTGAAGAGTCCAGGAACCACTCCCTCACATCTTCTGCTCGTGTTTCACTTTTTTAAAACCATGTTTGTACCATAATCATGTCCCCCAAACACAGAGAGACATGCTTGCATGGAGAAGCACCCGTGCTGGACACAGTTAGGCTGGAAGGATGCAACGAGCTGGGCACAAAACAAACACATTCGCTCATTTGAAATCCAAATTCACCCTCTTGGAGAGGAAGGGAGCAGCGAGCGACGTGCAGGGAGGTGCCAGGCGTGATGGAGAACACTGCCCTGACCTTCCTCGCCCTTCTTGAGCAGGCAAACCCGCAGAGGTGAAGCTCCTTCCCAACCCAAATCTCAGCCTGTGAAATTCCGCACACAGCCCTGGGCACCTGCAGACACCAGTGGGGGTTTTGGCACCGGTTTTGACACGGGTGGATATAATGAGGACACACTGAGCAAGCACCTTGGGCTGTGCTATAATCACAACCTCCTTGGATTCCTGGCTCTTCTCCATCTTGCAGGCAGGGAAAGCAAGGCACAGAACGAGCAAAACACTCATTCTGCACCCTGACTGATCCAATGCCACGATCCCTCACCTGCTGCCGAGCTTTGCAGACACCTAACCAAGCCCTGGGACCTGGGGACACCAAGCAACCCTGCACACCCCACCTGCAGATGACTTCGGGGAGAGGCTCTGAAGCTGCTTTGTGACCCGTCACACCCCATCGATCTGTGCCCGTGACACCCGGCGGGCTCTGGCACCAGCTCCATAGGGACAAGGGAAAAAACACACCTGAGCACACACAGCTCCTCAGTGCTTCCAAAAGGCACCCGGTGCTTTGCTGGACACCGGGGAGGGGAGCTGCCATCCCTGCAGAGCCCCTGCCCGCTGGATGGGCACAGACAAGCGTGACACAGAGAGCAAAGCATCGCAGTCCCAGGCAGGCAGAAGTCTCCAGGAAGGAGGAGGTGGGGAGGAAAGGGGGGTTAGTTGGGGGCAAAAGGAAAGGTAAGATCAACCAGGAGCAGTCCAGACGGATGTAGCAGCCGAAGAGGGGCTTGCCAAGGAGTGGGGGGGCTCACAGCACCCATCTCTGCTCCCACTCCCATTTGCCTCGAAGGGTCAAGCCACAGCAAGCATCAGACAAGACCCCACGGCAGTGCAAGGCATCTCCATTCCAGCAGAAAGTGTTTGGGGTGAGGGATGGGAGAAAAACCAGAGCAAATCTCTCCATCCCAGGGGCTCTCAAGCAAAACGAGAGAGGTGGGGAGCAGTGAGAAGAGGCCAGGAGTGTCCCTGGCTACGGAGAAGGGGAGAAAGCCGACCTCCTAGCAGAGATGTCCATGGAGGGAGCAGAAGGGTGCTGCGAGGACACAATTCCTTCCTCCAAACAGGCAACACTGTAAAACACAAGACACAGACGAAAAAGGAAAGAGAGAGAAAGAGAGAGAGCGGAGGGGAGAGAGCAGAGAGAGGCAGGGAGGAAAAGACAGATGCAACTCCAGACACCTTCCCTCCACCTCCTGTCCACACCGGCCTCATCCCATCCCTTCCATCTCAGCTGCACCATCACCATGTCCAAGTAGAGAAGGATTAAAAACAAGGCCTGGACTGTTTTGTTTGGCTTTGCCTCCTTTGCCTCGCTGCTGGAAAAGACAGCAGCAGAGCTTAGAGTTCATCAGACAGGTACGGGTGAGATTAAAACTCTGTGACCACACTAATGGCCCGTCTTTCATTCCCTTCCCCAGCTCTGTGCATCTCCTGCATCCTCCAGCACAGAGCCGTGGGTGCTGGATGCAGACAGAACCTGCAGCTCGCTCAGCCCCTGGTCTCATGCGCTGCCGAGGGTCCCATGAGCCCTGTCTTCAGCCCGTGCTGGGGGATGGCACCCTGCATCCCTGCCACAGGGCTGCTGGAGCTGTCACGGGCACTTTGAAATCCCAGGCTTTGGCAGACTTTGATTTACTTCCTCCAGATCACGAGCTTTGTTTGCTCCTACCCCACCAGGATGTCCCTCCTGAAAGCAGCCTATCTGCTGTCCTCTCCTGGAGGATGAGGAATTGGGGGGAAGCTAAAATAAAAGGCAGTAAGACGGAGAGAGGAACAGCACAGGGACCACATCCTGCTGGCCCCACTCCCCTGGCCGTGGCGAAGCGATGCCCATCTGACAGCGCGGTAACCAGCTCCCCGCAGCCCGGGGAGGGAGGACTGGAAGGGGCTCTGCTGTCCTCCCTGCAGGGAGAACTTGGGGAACTGACTCCTGATCCTTCACCCACCAGGAACACAGTGAAACGGATGATTGAACTGAAATAACAGTTGTGATTACATTGAGTGTGGTTTTGGGAGCCTGACAAACAGTTTTCAAGCAGCTGGGGCTGGCAGCGTGCAAAACCCGCTGCAGGAGCACAAAGCCAACAAAACAGACCCGCAACGTGGGGCCTCATTTCCAAGTACTTCAGAAGGTCTGATAGAGCTGAGACCTTAGAAAACATCAGCTTAAAACAACAGCACACAGTTCTAGATCTAGTAAAAAGCAATTTGAGCTGAAATGAACAGTCCTTCCAACTCATACAAATCAATCCAGTGACTGTGTTCAACCTCCTTCATTTTCTGTGCAATCATTTTAAATTTGGACTTCCCCAACATCCTAGGGAGCCGAAGCCCCATCCTATCCCGTACGCCTGAAAAAAGCATCCATTGGAAAGGTCAAAAGCTACTCGCAGAGACGAGACAAAAACACGGCGAGACCTCCAGAGACGAGGTGCGCTGGGAAGAGTTCCTTACAGAGAGTACCTGGAGCTGAGAGAAGCGGGCGGGCATGGAGAGGGAAGCATGGAAGGAGCGTGGGGACTGGCACTACCCTGGGAGGAGAAATGGATGGTGTGGGCTGCACGGGACCTGCGTGGTGGCAAATGCAGACGTGGCGGTGAATGAGAGAAACCAGCTGGACATCACAGACACTTTGGTATTGTTTAAACACAAATTATTCTTCCCTGTCTTACCGAGCACATCAGACAGAGACAAGACCACAAGGAACACGTGCACAGACACACAAGGACTGCTGACTGCTGGAAGGAAAAAAACCAGGGAGGAACGGCTATTCAGGGCTTGTCGGTCGCAAGAATGAAGAGAACCTGTGGCTCGCTCAGATGCTGGCCACCCAGTCACAACTTACCTGCAGCTTTCCAGCATCAACGTGAGCACCGCTGCCTGCACGGAAGGGACTGAGCAGGGCTGGGCTTAAAGTGGCTGCTGGGGCTGGGAGGTGAGAGGTGTGGGGGTACCAGTGTTCCTGCAGGCGACCAGCCCGGCGGCACCAGTGCTTACCACAGGGTCCACTGTGCTTTACTGGAATGGCAGCTTTCTGGTGGCACTCGGCTTTCCGGCGCTCGCAGTCGTTGCTGTAGGTGCGGCTGTCCCTGGCACAGACAGGTCTGTAGGCACCGTCGCAGGTGATGCGGTCGCAGGAGCAGCGTGTGGTGCCGCGGCGGTTCAGGCAGACGGCATTGAACTTGCACTCGTCCTTGCATTTGTCTGGGAGGAGAGAGGATGGCACTGCTCATACCCAACCCAGGGGAAGGGGATATACTCTCATTGCCAAGAGCATGGCACAGAGCCGCAGGGAAGGTCAGGAACCCCAATGATCCCGTTCCCCAAAAGCAGAGATGTACTTACCCTGCTGCTGGCACTGCCCTGAACGCACCTTCTGGATCTCCAGTCCCCGGATGGCCCCCGCGCGCCCCATCATGCACTCGTTGTCGTAAGTCACCCCGTCGTCACCGCACACCAGCTCCCTCTTTGGGGGACAGTTCTCGGGGCGGGAGAGCAGCTCTGCCCTTCGGGTGCGGGGGTTCACCCGGCACACACGGCTCCCGTCGTTGAGGACGCCTTTACACGGGTCTGTGCACAGAGCCGGAGCAGACAGTCAGGCATGCTCAAACCTGGTCCAGAGAGGTGCTGCCTGCCCTCCTCCTCCCCCCAGCTGGCCCTGAGATCGTCCGTACCGGTAGCACCCACTTGTGCTCATCGTTTCCTCGGGACTGGCCATCTCTAGGGCTCTGCACACCTAAGGACTTATTTTTCACTGAGCTGCACAGACCGAGGACACGCACCCTTTCCAAAGCAACCGCTGGATGGGCTGAGCTCTGCCTTTTTTACCATCCTGAGCTGCCTTCACCCCTCTTTGTCTCTCTCTCCCCGGATCCAGGTGAACCTCCCGAGTCCAAGGGGTGTTCACTGGGCACCGCAAGATGCTTGGTACCCCCATCCCACTCCTCCCACTCTCTCTCTCTCTGCTCCCCATGATGGAAGAGCCCCGAAGGCAGCCAGGGCCACCCCCTGCCTTGCCCCACTGCTCTAACCTGGGCTCATCTGGATCACCCTCTCTGATGAGCCGAGCTCACATCAGCATACCAAAGACACAGGCAGAACAGGTGCCGACTGTTCACTAATCCCTCCTCCAGCCCTGAGTTTTCCTCTTCCTTGTCAAGCAGGAAGAGTGCAGATTCCTTTTCTGCAATTGCAGGAACACGATCGAATGTTTCCACCCTTTAAATCCTCCTAGCCTGAAACCCCAGCACTGACCACAGTCCCAGTGCAGTCACACCAGCAGGCAGCCAGGGGTGGGTCACCTCCTTGGAGATCTCTACAAACCCCAACAAAAAAATCACAAAAACATCTTGCCTGGACTCAAGGAGTTGTGGGGAAATAAGGGTGCTGTAGTGAGGCAAGGTATGGTTGAGATGGGGACACGGGACCAGGGATGAGGCAGATGCACAGACAGATCTCAGGGAACGCATGATGAGGATATTTGGATATATTCTGCCTGTTCTGCTCATTCCCACTCTCTCCCCTACATTGCAGCACATCCTTAAGCCTTCCAGTGCACCCAACAGAGGCAAAATACCTTCAAGTATTTTCAGGTTCTATAACCCAGCTGCTCAACCCAGACTGCCGGAGTTTCTGCTGATGCCCAGCTACAACCAGGAGGACTCCAGAGAGGCAGTGAGGCTCTCAGCCTCCTCTCTGCCCTAGAAACTGGGAGCATCCAGCATGACATCAACTTCTTTCACACTTCCCACTTGCGTCCATCTCGCCCTACTTGGGACTGAGCAGCAAAAGCGTAACTAAAGCTCCTCCAGGTTTGCAGCCTGTCCAAACCCACTCCCACGCTCCTCCTCCTGGGGACAAACACTGGCCTGGCACATGTCCTGGCTGATCTCACGGTTTTCCTACTGAATACAGTGGCTTTTAATTACAAGTATCCCCCGCCATCATTAGCCAAAGAAGCAGCCATCCTCGGAGCGGCAGGGCTGTGCTGGTGCTCTGGGATCTGTGCCTGGCGGGTCCCTTTCACTGCGGGGAGCCGCCAGCCCCGGGGACGGCAGCTTGCAGCAGGCTTCTGGCCAAAAGCAGCAGCTGGGGGACTCCAGCCAGGAGGGAAAGGAGGTGGCACAAACGCTGCAACTTCTCTCTAGGTCACTGGGTCCCCAGCAGAAATGCCCACAGCCAAATGCCGCGGGGAAAGCGCTGGCTTGCTCTGAATTTCAGAAACCGTCACCTACAGCCTGACCTTTTTCTGCCCAGCCTGTGTTTCTGAGCTGATGCCAGCAGGCAAGTTTTTCCTCCCCAACCCTTGCCATTTCCCGCTGCTCTGCCCTCAAAATTCCTGACGCAGGAGGAAATATTTTTAAAGCAATCCCCTCCCCGGGGGAGAAGCAGGGGACTCACCACAGGCGCCATCAAACTTCTTGAAAACGTTCTCCTGCTTGTCGCAGGCGTGCTTGTTGAGGTGGCACTCGCTGCGGTAGTCTTTGCCGTCGCTGCCGCACACCGTGCTCTCGGGCACGCTGCTGCAGGACGAGGGGCAGACGCACTTGGCCGACTGGCCGTCGGTGGAGCGGACGCACGTGCTGCCAAAGCTGCAGGTCACCTCGGCACAGGGGTCCTTGGATCCTGCGGGACAGAGGAGGGGACACGGCACGGGTGTGAGCAGGACGTTCATTTATCCCACGCTCCACGGGACAAATAAACCTGACACATCACAATATCCACCCAGACAGCCCCAGTCCCTCTGAGAGCCCAGCAGCGCACATGATGGCAACGGATGTCCTTCCCCCAGCTTCAGCAGATGCTGGAGCCGGGGCCATGGACCTGGTCCCGCAGCACCCACACCGATGTCCAGATTGTGAGGCTGTAGGGGCCGCCCCAAAGCCATGGCACGCGAGGAAGGGAGCTCTCCCTCCCCACCTGGCACTTCAGGCAGATCCCCTCCTTTCTAAACCTCTCAGCCTCGCTGCTGCCAGCTCCCTTCCCTGCACATGCTCGCCAAGAGCTTCTTACTTCAGCAAATGAACAGAACAAAAGTCCTTCAGGCACCTCCTGCAAACCATCGTTAGAGGAAGAGCTCAAGGAGCAATTTCCTCACTGACAGGGAAGGGCCAAAATCTATTTGCCAGCTTTTTTTTTTTTTCTTTCTTTGTCACTTTTTTTAATGATTATTATTTTAAATAAATCCCTCGGCACTCTCTCCCCTCTGACAAGAGCCCCAGCAGGAGCTCCGGGCGCAGATTTATGGCAAGGCAGAGCGCCGCGTGAGAGAAAGGTCAAGTTAATTTACTCTGAGACGAGGAGACCGGGGGCTCATTTACACAGCTCCTTGCTCACAGCTGGTAAATGCCAGCCTGGGGAAGGGCCTCCGCCCCCCCAGCCTCATCTCCCCAACTCCCCCTTCCAGCCGTAGCAGATGTGACCCAACCTGGGTCCCTTCCCATCAGACCTGTCCCCATCCCCCAGGACATCACCAGCGCCGCAGGGATGACGTGAGCTCGGGACAAGTCCCCCTGGTCTCACCCAGTCGCCTCCGGAGAGCCCGTCCTCTCACTCACCGCACGGTCCCTTGCTGATGACTTTGATCCTCCTTTGCTGGTTGCACTGGGCTTTCTCCAGCTCGCACTCGTTGCTGTAGGTGGAATAATCAGAGCCGCAGACCGGAGCCACCACGACAGGACAAGCTGTCTTCTTGCAGACGCAGGAGGCTTGGGAGGGGTCGGTGGGGCTCCTCTCGCAGACCGCCCCGAACCCGCACAGCATCCCTCGGCACGCTGCGGGGACAGACGCAGGGACAGAGCTGAGCCATGGCTGTGGACAGGATGGGTGCAGGGCAGCATCTGGGTCCAGGAACCCGCTTGTGCCTCATCTCTCTCCCTGACAGAGCTGCTGCCACCGCTCAGGCTTGGAAAGGGGCTGCAGGGGTCCCGGGGACCAGGACTGCAAGGATGGGGACAGGGAGAGGAGGATGCTCTGGGCACAGCGAGGTCCCTCCGTGGCTCAGGATGGCATCGTCTCAGCATGCTGGAGCCTGCCAGGAACTGGGCATCCAGGGATGCCTGTGGTCCGTTTGAGGGGTAGGGGGGCAGAGCCAACCCCACCAGAGACCCCACCCAAGGACAAGGGTCTGCCCAGCACAGGCAGGGAATGGCATGAGCCCACATCTCCTGCCCACGCCCGGAGCACGGGCATCAGCAGACGCATGGGTAACCTCAGTGCCTGCTCCATCGCACTGGTACTGTGCAGAGCAGACCAAAGGCCATGGAGAGGGGCAGCAGGGACAGTAGGGTTGGTAAAGGCAGTGGCCCAGACACTGGAAGGCAGCACCCCCTTTGCCCCCAGGCACCAAAAGACCATCCAAGTTGGCTCTACCAGTCCAAGTTGGCTCTACCACCATCTCTCCCGAGTGCCTGAGTCCTGCTGTGCTTTGAGAGCAGCCAGTAAGGCAGGATATGTGCCAGGCACCTTCATCCCATGCACAGACAGGGAGGAAAGAGGCTGGGGTCCAGCATGGTCCAAAAGGAGCTACCAAACCCATAGGCAGTCCTCTGGCCTCTCTGTTTTCACTCCAGGCTGCCCCTTCTGCTTATTGCCAGTGTGAACTGGAGAAAGAAAGGTCTGTCTCCAGTTCAGCACCACCACAGGGAGGTCAAAGCCCAGTTTGGGAGCAGGGAGGTGCCTCCAACCCCACTACGGACACGGAGGAGCATCCCCAAGGCTCTGCCCTGGACCCCTCTGCCTTAGTGATTCCTCCACCTCACAACACATTTTCTGCTAACCAGTAAAAGGAAAATCAAGGACTGAAGAAAAAAAACAAAAAAACATCCTCACCTGTCCCAGCATGGGACAGATCGCCCCACATGCTCACACCGCTTTATTCATCGTAATTTATGCAAAGCAATCAAATCACGTGGCATCTCTCTAAAGGAGATGCACGAATCTCTTTATCACATCCCCTAATCAGAGCAGCCAGCACAGACCAGTTCAGCATCTGAATTGCTAATAGAGTGGGAAATATAGAATTTTTTGGCCAGAAGGAGGGGCATGGATGTGAGTGCATGCAGGCAAGCGTGCATCGGGCGGTGAGGTGTGCCCGGGGGGTGGCAGGAGGTGCCCGCTGCGTGTGGCCAC